TCAAATTCCACGTTCAAGGTCAAATGGTCAAATATGATGGTACCCAAAGAAAGGAATACACTGTGAAATATGAAAGCCATAGCTCCAACCAATCAAAAGTTATGGGCAATGTTAAAGTTATTGGGGACTAACAATTAAACAGATAGACAAACAGACGGACGGACAGGGCGAAAACTATATAACCCCGAATGTTCGATTCGGGGGCATAAAAAGAAAGTAATTGCCAAATTAAGTTGTTACAAACAGTTGAATATTGTATTAGAGATAAGATGTACGTTTACATTGCTATACGTTATGCATCGTAAATGAATATATTCATAAATGATTTCGGAAACTGCAAAGGTAAATACAGACTTTGATTTATTAGAATCGGATATTGTAGTACAAATATTTCCACATGTAAAAAAGGTTACTAAGCATCAAAATCCAAAATACACATAAATAAACCCTATCAATTAAATATGTATGACATCAAAACCATTAAAATAACTATAATATCTATTTTGATGAATAAATATCTTTTTAAATTAACATGAAATCCATATCGTTCCATATATATTTAAAAAAAAAACGAACATACCTGAACAAAAAGGAGCTGTTTTCTTAGCTTTGATTTGTGTACTTTGATTGATAACACTTAGTAAACAATCATTTATGATGTAGTTACTAGTTAAACAGGCAATTAACATGAAACACAGGGACAGATAGATTAAAATGGAATGTTTGAATTCCGGAAATGTGACGTCAAGATAAAGAACAATAGCACGAACGGAACTAGAATTTGAAAATAGGAATAACAACATCCGATTTTCCAATTACTGGGGATTTCTTTGTTTTGAATTTCATTAAACATTTCATATATAAGGCAGTAATTCATATGATTAATCAGATACTCAAAACTACTCCAGAAGAAGAGAAAGAAAAAAGAAAAAAATATACTTACAGTAATGTATAGGTAAGTACCTTTATCATTTTTCTGATTTTTTTCCGGATTCACTGATTTTTTAAATTTTTTTTGAAAAGAGTATTGAATACTTTTATGTTAAAAATTATTTTTGCATATTTTTGCAGACAGAAATTAGGAACATCTTCTAAGACCATTATCTTCATCATCATTGCTGCATCCCATGTTTATGTACTGGCACAAGATAACACCTGCAATCAAATGTGTAAAGAAGAAAGAGAACAATGTACTAAAGACTGCGTTATGCTTAGACAAAGACATGAAATTAACCAGTGTGAAGACCAATGTAGTGAAGACATGTTCTTTTGTCTAGATCGCTGCAAAAATATGGTAGAACTTGCACATGCTATTCCTCAGAGAAATGTATCATTAGTTAAAAGTGATACACCTCATGAAAAACAACAGGAAGTTCGTACATTGGTTCCAAATGTATTTGATATAAATTTCGTGAAGTTGTCATCCGAGAAAATATTTGCTTCTCACCCTCCAACCACCAATATACCACCAAGCACAAGCGTAACTGCTGACAAAAATCAATTGGAAGTCAGTGAAAATTCTAAAGACTGTGTTGCAAAATGCACCTCAAAAGAATCTGAATGTGAGATTGAATGTTTCATCGCCTATCATGCAAATAATTTTCAAGATAGTGACTGTACCTCACGTTGCCAGATGGATAAAAGACTCTGTATCGAGAACTGTGAAAGTGTAAAGAATGAACCAATTACAACCGAGGAGGACATTGCAGTAGTAGTTCCGAGCCAGATTACAAACCTCAGAATACCGTCACAGCCTTTGGTAAGCGTATCCGGTACCAAGTCAAAATCATCTTCTTTGGAAAGAGAAATTAGTATCTTACGGAGAATATTAATTGGACTTCCATCATCAGGTACGCAGATGATAGGAAAATGGGTACGGTAAATGATTTTAATAGTGAAATCCACTCATCGTTGGTGTATTATCCTTCTTTCATAGATTGTTATTTCTTACATATATATATATATAGGACTTCGTACCATGTCCATTTTGTTATCCATTATTGTTTTATATATTTTCATTTACCTTGTTTATTTTATTATGTTTTATGCATACATGTATATATATTTTAAATAAAATTTGTGAAAAAATACTCCTTAAACTTAAACTTAACTTCAGTTCTCTGAATTCAGGAGTGAGCTTGATCATACGCATTATTTTCATTCAGGAATACAAAGTGGCATAATCCTGATCCCAATCCATTTCATTTTAATCCAGCTTACATGGAAAACGATTAGAGAAATAATCCTTCCATTCCCTCTCATGAATAACAAATCTCAAAAACATTATTGTAATATTTTTCTCTGAGCGATAGTCTTGTTTTTTCTCTTTCACTCTCCCTCCCCGTCTTTTTGTCATATTTTACTGACACTAAGGAACTGTGCGCTGCATTTAATTATTTCTTTACCCCCTTTGTTCCTTTTAAAGTTGACAAATATTTCATTTTTCCCGCGCACCTGTGAATTATAATCAAAGACGATTTTTTCAACATTACTTATCTCCTCATTTACCTCTCTAATAAATCAGTTTTTATTTACAAATAAAAGAATTAATTACGTGATCTGCGAAAGAAAGTCGTTTATTCAATTTACTCCGCATATGGTATTGAGAATATTAGTTTATTGAACGGATTGCTTATGCCCTGATAATGTGTATTGATCTTAAATTAAGGTCCTGTGGGCAAGTTTATTAGCAGAAAAGTAAGATTTGTTTCCGGTCTATAACTTTCAAATAGAAAAACAGTGGATGTTCATACTTTATATCCAGATTACCTTTGACGTTAAGATATTCCATTAACTTGACTAAAGATCATATAGGAATGTTCAAGGCAAGGTTTTGAAAAATGTTTTATTTTCTTTGCCATACCTTGTGAAGAAATACTGGAATCTCAGATGTGGCACATCATTTGTTTCAAATCTTTTAGTGTGTCATGACCTCGACACAGGACCAGGGTCACTGGCAGAATTGAAGAGTAATTTCTGTCATGTGCATTATTTCCTTATGGAGAAATATTGGAAGTTCAGAATTAATTTTATAGCAGAAGAAAGTTTGAGGTAACTCATATTCCTTAAGTTTGTAAAGATGAAAACATTCATCAATATCTTCAAAAATGATTGACCAAGAATTACGATCATTTCTAACAATTTGCCACAAAAACTTTTACAACTAAAACCAATCAGAGAAAATAAAATAAAAAAAATGAATAAATGAACTGATATGAAAAAAAAAACATTTAGAGTTCAAACTTCACACAAGGATTATATCAGATCCGACATGACCAGGTATCTTTGATGAAGATAAGTAATACAATACTGATTTTAAATTTAAAAAAAACCCCGGAAATTCATATGCCTGACATGAGTATGTAATTTTCATATTTTCACTATATATTCTACAAATGTGGGCTAGATTTAGAAATCATAACCTTTTATAAAGGACGTATATGTATTTTTAATGCATAAAATGATGATTTCAATTAAAGAAATTGTGAATATTCCGTCGGTCTTGTCTTTGACATTGCCTAGTTTGTTAATATATACATATGCTAACCAGTGCCAACCACTTTAAAATAACGGTGCCTTTGATAAGTTTAGTACTTAAATGATATAAAATAACATTATGCGACAGGACAAAATGCAAAGCAAAGTTCTTTTGTACAGTTTTCGAATTGTTGATATTTAACTGTTTGAATTTCGTAAAGTCGAATCCTTGGGTATGTTACATTGGGGTGGTATACATTCTTTCTGATATTCATGCGTTGATATTTTTTAAATAATAATGCTAGAGTTGGACTTTCTTTTTTTTTAAGCTGTCGACATTTAAATTGTTGATACAAGAATATCAGCAATTTCATTTAAAGCAAATTATATGGTTGATACAAGACCTTTTTAGCAAATACAATCTATCATTTAATCTATAATAATAACAGGGAGCACACATTTGGAGTGACCGGTCGACAGGGGATGCTCACTCCTCCACAGTACCTTATCCCACCTCTGATGTTTTAGAGGTCCGTGTATGCTCTTCTCATATTTTGTATTGTTTCCATGGACTTTTGAGCTTGATTACTCTTCGTTATCCTCATATGTAATTGAAATATATTCTCTATTCCATGTGTATTTCATTTATATCTTCTAAAATAGCCATATGAATACAAATTTCTTCGAAATGTTTATATATAATCTATCTTTGAAATGCAGACAATATATTTCTCTATTTCAATGCTGACAAGTAATTGAATTTCATAAAACCATTTTTAAATATTGTGACCATCACACATGTACTATTCTTAAAATATGCATTTATATCCTTGCAATAACAATTGAAAATAGGTTGGCAGATTTTTGCCGAATATCAATTAAATTAAACAGTTAATGGTAATGCCATCGGTTTCAAAAAATGCCATTGCACTTAATGTACTCATTATTCTTGAGCAAGTTTTTAAAATGTTTATTTTCTTGTTATGACATAATACTTTGCAAAATAAATGGGTAAAGATGGGTGGTTTTTATTATTTAACATTAGTTTTAAGGTCTTTGTTCCGTCTTCATCCGCAAATTTTTCGTAGAAGTTTCTTTATCTTGAAAGCAGAATTACATTAAAATGCGAGGATTAAATGCATAGTAATTAGTCATTCCAAACACTTCTTCCATTCGACCATAAAAGGACAATTAAAGTCGTATTAAAATTAAATTTATGTCTTTAGATTCAAGTAAAAGCCTCTGAAATCCAGTTTACACGACAGAAACATTAGCGTACAAATGATTCATCATTGGAATAAACGAGGAATTTTTCTCCTTAAAATTGTTTACAGTAAACAGTAGTTTTCAGGATTTTAATTTAAATGAAATGATACACGACATAATGTCGAAAACAGACGGTAACAGGTGACTTATGCAAAACTGAAAGTACCGAGACCTTCAGACGTTCTTTACCTGTGCAGCTAAGACAATCCTTCAAATTAAAAGCACTTAAAATGTATCAGAAAATACAACCATGTTCGTAAGAAAAGAAAATAATTTATTGTAAAAAGGGATTGTAAAGAGATTCTTCACTGAAGATACAAAATACAACACTCAAAAAATAAATATTAACAATTACACTCTTACACTGTTAGGAAACTGAGAACAAACAAAGAAACATAAAGAATAAGTCTAAGTCATCAATCAAAGCAGTATACAAGGGATTGAATTTAGGCTTAGATATCGTCGTTTTTGTCTGAGTCGTCAAGAGAACTCAGGTCTAGAGCACATCGGGGTGGGACGTTGTGTGACAGATCGAGTGAACTCTTTAGATGGGTATTCTTTCTTTTTAGATTTCCATATCCTCTTTAAATTCCTTCACCCCTCGTTTGAGTTTGATGATGTTCCATAGTCATAGTCTCCGCCATGGTTTAGATACATGTCATTATATAAGTAATTATAAACATCAGTATTTGATATCTGCTCTTTTTGCTTTTCGAGTCTTTCTATCTGCCGTTTTACTTCATCTTCATTGCATTCAGCCACACACTCTCTATGGTCAGTATAACATTCAGCCGAACACCCTACCTCTGGTGTACTAACCTTACAATCATCTACGCAGAAATTTCTTTTGGCATCACATGATCTCTGACATAGCATTTTTAGTAAGCTCATCGGTTTTGTGGAGCTTATCCTGACCGCTCCTTGTTTGAAATTTGTATACGGTGTTTCATGTACGCCGGTTTCAGATGCCCTCTCAAGTTGCTTTTCAAGTTTTTCTTTTTGGCGTTCCAGTTCATCTTCGTTGCATTCTTTCACACAGTCTCTATGATCATCATAGCACTCAGTCGAGCACCCGACCTCCGGTATACCTATCTTACAGTCATTTAAACAGGAGTTCTTTTGTGTCATACATGATGTCTGGCATATCAATTTAAGCGCACTCATTGGTTTAGTAGAACTAATTTTGACTGTGCCATGTACCTTATCGGCTTTGTTGTCAGGTATATTATAGATACCCGTTTCCGATGCCCTCTCAAGTTGCTTTTCAAGTTTTTCCTTCTGTCTTTCAATTTCTTCTTTGTTGCAGTCAGTTATACACTCCGTGTTATCTTCATAACATTCAGTCGAACACCCGACTTCCGGCGTGCCGATCTTACAGTCAGCTAAACAGGAATTTCTTGTTATCACACATGAAGACAAACACAATAATTTGAGCATACTCATTGGTTTTGAGGCGCTTGTTTTGATCTCTCCAGTGACGGTTTGGATTACAAGCTCTGCATTTGGTTTTGGGGTTGTAGCTGCACTAGCAGCGACTGTTCCTGCCTTTGGTGCTGATGATATACTAATAGATCCAGTTCTTTGTGCTATTCCAACTGCAGAATTACTTTTTCCTGATATCTGTCCCATTTTGTTTTGTCCATAATCTTGATTACATTCAGTAATACATTCATCGTATTCAAGTGTGCACTCAGTTCGACAAGAAGGATCTGTTGCAGCACATTCGCTTTGACAACCAGATTGTTCCGTAGCACATAGCTTTACACAAGTAGAATGGATTGAGTAGGGTTGAACTTGATTTGTATTAGATGGGTCAACCCAGTTGACATCTGTTGATTGCTGAGAGTTCCTTTTAGCTGCTGGAACTTGTTCAGTGTATACGTTATATTTTCCAGTCTGAGCTGCGTTTTCTTGCGTACCTTTCATAATCTCAACTTGTACTGTATCTACAGTATTTGTTGTACTCCCACCTGCAGCATTTGTTTCTGGATACTGGTCATTACACTCTTTTTGACATTCTGCTAGCTCTGCAGGACATTCAGTCAGACAAGATGTATCGGTAACGTCAGTTTGACAGCCCACCATACATTCTACATTTTCTATAGAGCATTGCACCAAACAGGTTCTCTTTTGTTGGTTCGTTGAATTGGTTGCAGTGGTTTGTATATTAGAAGACTCAACAGCACTTGTGCCACATTCCTGTACGCAATCATCATAATCAGTAGTGCATTCTGGGAGACATCCGGGTTCTGGATCTTGATTGCATTCATTCTGACAACCGGTTCTCACCACCGAACATGCTTTAAGACATACTGATGTTGGTGAAGTTTTGGCGGTTGATATATCAGGAATTGTTGCTTGAGTTGTCACTCCTGCTTCTACAATTGGAGTGTTCGAAAATCCCTTTGGAAGACAACCTTCTGAGCAAGCAGAATATGTAAATTTGCAGGTTTTAGAGCAGTCTAAAAATCCATTTCTGTTTCCCATATGCTGCTTTCGACAAGTTGAGCTACATCCCACATGGTCTAGATGACAAGTTTTCTCACAGTGCTCTGGTGTTTTATGCAAAGAGGCTTCTGTGCTGAAGACAACGAAGCCAAGTAAAGAACCAAGGATAAAAATCTGAAAAAGAAATGTATATTTGTTGAAATCATGAGATCTACTCTAACAAAAAGACGTAAGGAAGAAGAAAGTTACAGTTGAGAAATAATACACATAAATCAAATGATAATTCAAAAATCTACTGAAAAAAATAAATTTGGAAATTATTCCTCATAACATTCTTTCTTGTCTCTCGGTTTAGGTTATACATGAAGACACTTACCGATTTGTGCATGTTTTCTCTGCTTTTCTTACAAAGTGTGAGGATTCCTGAAAAATTCAGTGTTTATATGCTATAATTTTATGACGTCATATTTTCTCCCCACACAACAAAACATGCTGTAAGCTAATTGAAATAAATGAAAATTATCATGAACACATGACTTGTCATTTAAATTCATAACAACATCCATCACAACATAATCATTGGTCTAATTGCGTTAATGGTTTATTTTTTGATCAAGCCATTGCTAGCTGTCAAAATCTTTATTTACACGCGGACGATTTGACGTGAGAAATGAATTTTAAATTATAATAAGTTTACTTATGTGTAATATTTATTGCGCGCATTTAAGGACGGACACCTCCCTTTTTCTATACAACCTTGAGTAAAAAATATTTTAAAAATATATACGTAACACTCCTCCAGAATTTTCCTTATACGTATACACATTAGTTATGTAATATAATTTAGTTGATTTCTTCATTTGATTCCAAAAGAAAACATTTAAATATATGCTTGAAATCTCTCCCTAAATTTTTTCATGTACTTATGTTCTTTTAAAAAACCTTTTGTAATATTTAGTCTAAATACTCAATAATTAAAATATTCAATTCAAAAAGAAGTGAAGAATACAGGGAAGATCCCAAAAAATTAGTTCCCCATAAAAATATTAATTTTTTTGTCAACCTGAGCGAAAGTGACAGGTATCAACGCTTCTTCCGACAGGTATGTCCAAAATCAATAGAAAAAATTGACCGTAAATGTACAAAACTAGTGTTTAATTACTAATTATAGAATTTTGCCGAAGACAAACGATTACGGCTTGTTCTAGCAAATCACGTTTGCGGTTATGTAATCGAGCAAAAACAAGAAATGAATCTAAAAGAAGTTATTTTAAACAAATATATTAATTAAGTTTTTAACATTATACTGAGTCATCAAATTTTCTTCCCGCTTTTCTTACGGGGATTTTATGAATTTTTGCGGGGTTAATTAGTTCTAGTATAACTGTAGTAAGTATTAATAGGAAAACGAAGTATCTATTCGATGAATCAGTGTAATTCAGCTTCATTTGTTATTCCTCTCTACTTTTGTATCATTTGTGACAACCCGTACGAAAATAAAAATTCAAGAAAATTAAGCTCTGAAGCTCATGTTTTAATTTGTCTTCATATTTAACCTTACTGTCAAGGCCATGCGTTGATTCTTTCAGAAATATCAACGTTGTTAACGTAACGGTATGTATATAATTCATGCATTGTAAATGTTGCTTTTCAAATGTTACATTAAATAGGGCCATTTCTTGTCAAAAACACGGTAGTCAAAGAAAAACAAAACTTTCTGAGCAAAGGCTCTTTACGAAAAGAAAAAAGAAAGGAGGGAAGGAAAGAAGGAAAAATGAAAAATGCCGTTATTGTTTTCTTGCAGTCTGTGAAGATTTGTTGTCAAATAAATCTTATAAACCATGCAGAGAGTTGAATCATACATTGTAAGTCGCTTGTTCCTTTTAAAGAAGATACTTGCAAAACGTATATGAAGAAAGGCTTCTGAAACCATACATTCAAACGGAAATAATATTTGAATTTAAAACACATAATTTAACAGAATCATTAATTTAGCAGATTTATTTCATGTCATGAATCTCTTAAGTCATCTTTGCGTTTCTAAATGAGTGAGAAATTCTCGAATCGGACGTAAAACAACTATAAATCTTAAGTCATTTTCAATTTTAGTTTTTTTACGATTTAATTTAAAAAAAAAACTTCTGTGTACTTTGAATCAGTCTAGTCTAATTAAAATAAAATAAACTCAATATGTACTTTTAAAAATCGGACAAAAAAGCACAAGACAATGAATAACTTGGGAAGTGTAAAATTACAATACATTGTTTAACTCTACATTTATTTGGATTTGATGCTGATTTTTGTTTGTTCCATTTGGCATCCATTTAAAAATCACATGATCATTCATAGTGATGTAAATACAATGACCTTCATATTTGTTTACCTACCATATAGAATATATCTATTGTTTGTGTACTTTACAGAAGTACATGTCTATCCAATCATTCCCTACAACCATCAGTATCCTTATCATGTGAGGTTTTCATTTTAACCAAGATCTGAGGTTTGAAAAGTTTTTAATCGTTACAATTAAAGATGTCATAAATCTAATGTAAGCATAAATGAGAAAACGACTGCGGGGAGTGTCAGTGCCTATGTCCTTCAAATGTCCATGTACATAGACTTTTCGTTGATGGTTGTTCTCTCTGTCTGGTCGGTTTTGCTTGACAAAAAGAAGCATATGTGCATGTTTAATTCTTAAAATTTAATATTCGACTTCTTCATTAATTGCAAGTGTTCATCCTATTTACACATGTACACACTGAATTGTCTACGGATTTTTCCATTTTTCCCGATCATTACGAAGAGGCACGGCGGATATGACCGGTCGGCAGGGAATGCTCATTCCTCCATGGCACCTGATCCCATCTGATGTTTTTGGAGGTACGTGTTTGCTCTCATCCCGATTTGTATTCTTTAAATAGACTTTAAACTTGAATACTATTCATCATCTCCATATTTCATGTAAAAATTTAGTTTATAGTTTCATGAATTTAAATTAAATATATAACTGATTCAACTTTAGGCAATTTGAAATAAGTTATTTTCACTGAAATTTAGCACTTTTTATATAGCAAAAGTACTATCAAATAAAAAGTACCGGTTCAGATTAACACAAATTTAAATTTAGTAAATCTAAATATTATGTAATCTTTAGTGTACCTAAATTTAATTAACCCATTAAAAAGTCTTCCGTTTTGATGTATTGCTGATTGTTTATCCCTGCTGGTTACTTAATAAATTAGATAGAACTCTTAAGGCATAAGTATATCATTTGTTTGACAGTTTATTTTGCATCAGATGTCAGTAATTTTTGGGAGTTGTTTTAGATGAGTGACGGACAAAAATCGTCTGCTACCAGCATGAATTATTTTACATGTTTGTTGTTGTAGCTCATAGAATTCTATTTCCATGGAGTCCAAATTTTGCTTAATCATAGAGACACACCAAGAGGAAATGCATTTCAGAAACTGTTACAATTATTTTATTTAGGAATCAAGATTACTGGTATTTGTTTTATGTTCTTTTGACTCTTTGTTAAACATGTCATTCTTTCGCTGTGAGAAGACTGCTTTTTTCCTGACAAGTGCACCGATCCTTGAATTTCTCTTTCGTTACCATTTTGAAATGTCAAACCTTCCATAAAACTTTTACTATGCTCTGAATTCAATGCAAAAACAAATAAATATGTTAAATTAGGTAAAGAAGGAAAAAATACTAAACTATTAAGAATGTCTTATTTAAACTAGTACACGTATTGTTTATAGCTGTTCCACTTTCAATTAAATAAAATTTAGCTCACACATTGTTTAGTTTTGTGATCATATTTAGAGCTTATCATGTATCAATTTCATTTATAGAATGTATCTCTTCGATTTACCCGGCATGTTGGTTTTGTAAACACATAAACCAAAAAATAGGTTTTGAAGGTAACAAAGGAATATTATAGTTTGCCATTAGATCATTATATGCTGCTTCATCTTAGAAAAAATAAGAATAACATACATTTTGTTCCTTTTCTATATCCAGATATATTTATCAAAATGTAATAGAAGTTCGTGTAAATAAGGAGTCTACGTACCTCGGCTGGCCTTTCCTCTCTCATTAATAAAAAGGTAATGCAAAAGTATAAACCTTGCAGCACATTAATTTTTTTTAATTAATTACTCTAATTTTATCGTTGAATAAAATTGATATTTCAACATTTTACCTTGTGAAAAATATTGTTTTCACATTGCGAAAATTACAAGTTGATTTTCAGATTTTATTTCTAACATTGCTATATTAGTTTTAATACAATTATTCATTAATTGAGAAGAATTCAAGATCAGGTTTTTGAAATCACAACTTTTGCTTTTCCAATAAAAATGGAACTTATATAAAAATTCCACACATGTATTTTGTAATTGGGCATCTAAGACTTTGTTAAATTCCTTCTGATTATACTCACATGTACTCTAAAGCTTTTACCTCAATGACAACATTTAACGTAGTCTTTGGATACTACGTCTTCGAACTTGGATCTGCTGGAATTTCCATCGGTAATAATTTCGCCCTTTAATGGCATGCTTGTTTTGTATTACTAAGAAAATTTATTCAAAAATTTCTACAGGAAAAGGAGTTTCTAATTCAATATTTAGATTACGTTCGATATATTTTAATGACCTCTAATTAAATGATACCACGGAATCTGGTAAATGTTTCATATTTGGATGTTTTAAACGAGAAAGAAAATGTTGGAAAGATATTTACGTCCACTGAATATTTTCTTTTCTTTTTTTTTTTTTTTTTTTGAAAATCACTTCTTTTCATCAAATCATTGAGACTGTTAAAATAGTAGAACAGGTTTTTCAAGGCAACCCATATGAAAGTGGGCTAATTCAGTACTGAAACAAACATGTACAAGTCAATCATACAATATTTTTCGCATTTAAACCTATTTGTATGGTTCCTTATAATTATAGAGACATAAATGTAAGAATAAAATGCTTTCTTTGTTAAATTTATCACAAATGTAATGACTTCAAGTTTTCTGTCCTCAACTCCCCACATTTTGTAGCAATATACATGTACCATTACATCCTGAATTTGCCGTTCATGTTTTCCATTCGATTTGATAAACAAAAGCATGTTCTAAATATGAACAACTTCTGAACAAAGGCAAGCTATTGACAAATAATTTGATAAGACAAGGTATTAACAATCTCGTTTAAAGTCAATATTTCGCGAATTCTACGGTCGATACAAAGACTATGTTTGCAAACACAACCTGTTGCAGTCTTTGACTGATAGTTTTTTTTACCAATCGTTCGGCCAATTCACACTGAATTGTCTACGGATCACTCCGTTAACCCATATAAGACAAGGGGTTCACGGTGGGTGTGGTCGATCGACAGTGCTGCTTACTACTGGGAACCTGATCCCACCTCTGATGTTTGTTCGGCTCTTAATGTGTATTGTTTACATGGACTTTTTAAGCATGATTACTTTTTGTTACTTTTGTCTTTT